TATATATTTTCTGTTATTTGTATTAATATAGCAGAAACTTTTATTTAAAATAAAATATTTATTATTACTATGATTGGTGAATATTCTTGCAACTATTTACTTCGAACTGGTGGCATCTGTGGACGTACCTGTCATCGATCCTTAGGGTGTCATGAACATTGGAAAGCTAGGAAGCGTCTTCCTTGCAAGGTTTGTGGTATGCCGACTAGCTCTAAGCCTGGCCTTTGTAGAAAACATGCTAGTGGTTATTATGTGACCCAGTATATTAATAAACATTATAATAGAGCCATAGGTACTTATTGGAATGTAAATTAGGGTTTAAAATTTTACATGTAAGGTGTCCTAATTTTGCGGAAACTTTTGTAATGAAAATGGACTTGAAAGGATTCCTGTATATTGAAAAATATTAACATGTTAGAACTTGATCTTGAGCTTTTAGACTTTCTTGTATACATTCAAAAATTTACACCTATGCAGGGCATAAGTGTAAATTTTTTGTATTGCTAGCTGATAATGAATCAACTTTAGAATTAATTTTATGATATCATGAAATATGGTATGCATTTTAGGTTTGCATGGTCAGGTCCAGCTCAAATCACGTCACTTTATTCCTTGATTTTCGCTGGCCTCTCTAGAGACAAGTAGAATAGCATAAAAGTTATTATTAAATTTGGGTTTGCAATGTCAGGCCCATCTCAAATCGCGTCACTTTGTTCCTTGATTTTCACTGGGCCCTCCAGAGGCAAATAGAATAGTAAAAATTTTTTGATATATTATTTGAGATTAAAATCAGGCTAGAATAGTTATATCTAATAGTATACTTTATGGTATCAGATAGGCTAATTCCTAGCCAAGTTCGATATCATTATTTATATTTGAGTCAAATTATGCTAGAGCTTTGTATTTGATAATGGATTTGTATAGCTAGAATGGATTTGTGGGTGTCGGAAAACCTTTTTGGATATCTTTTGGATTCTTTTGGATTTTTGTCCTAGAAACCCCATTTTTGCCCTACTATTAGACATAAAAAATCCAACCAAAAATAATGTATACAATGTATTGATTAAATGTAAAAAAATCCAACCAAAAATAATGGATATAATATACTGATTAGACGTAAAAAATCCAACCAAAAATAATGTATATAATGTATTGATTAGACGTAAAAAATCCAATCAAAATAACATATATATTGTACTGATTAGAAGTATAAAATCTAACCAAAAATAACGTATACAATATACTGATTAGACGTAAAAAGTATATGCAAATTTATGTATATAATATACTGATTAAATATAAATTCTGTATTTTTTTGCATACGAAAAAGTTGATTTTAGATATCTAATATATGGAAATATTAATCAAAAATAACTTATACAATATACTTATTAGACGTATAAAATATATATAAAATTACGTATATAATATACTTATTAGATGTATAAATTCCATATTTTTCTGCATACGAAAAAAGTTGATTTAGTATCTAGTATATGAAAATGTTTATGAATTTATTATACTGTTTTGCTACGTTTATTATATGGTTTCTAAACATATTATTTCCATATACTTTCCTTATACAGATTATTTATAGGATATATAGGTTATGAATCAAACCCTAAACATATATATAAAGCTTCTTATTAGTAACATTATTCCAATATGCAATATTTCCTTTAATATTTTCGAATTATAATGTAGCAACTATATTACCTTTCCTTGTAATTGACCAGTTATTTGCAGTAGCTGCAATTTTGAAATGTTTAAGTCATTTTTCAAGGTCTTTATTCACATTTTTCCAGAAATGTTATATCAATACAATATTTGATTCCCTTGGAGTTGCTAAAGGTAGTTGAAAATTGTTTATTCCTTTGCAATATTTTGAAAAGAATTTTACATTTGTTGAATGATTGCAGAAATCTGTCTAGTAGTTAAAGATTCAGCTTAAAATTAAATGATACTTTACTTATTTGAGAAAAAGAGAAAATAAAGTGATTGATCGATAAAAAATCGACCGTGACAAAAAAAAAGATATGAAAACAATAACAAAATAAACACTATATTAGATCCTTGATCAAAATCAAAATAAAATAAAACAATTAAAAATAAATAAAAAAAAATAAAATTAAAAAAAATGCTTCTGTAAAATCAACCAGAACTAATTACTATATAAAAAAAAATTAATTAAATCAAATTAAGTCATAAAATAGATCAAAATCGATTAAACAAAAATACCAATACCTACGATTAAAATTATGATTAAAAATCATTTCTCCATAAAAATAGAATCGATTAATCGAAATCGAAAATCGAATCTTATGATCGAATCTTAATCTTGATTAATCGATTCTTTAATCGATTCCACTTTTAGAATCGATTCCAATCCCTAGATCAGGGTCAAATCGGGGGGGGGGGGGGGTGATTAAAACGGTGATGATATTCTTGTTAAATCAATGGAAAAGTAAGAAATAACCTGATAATTTGATAATTCATTGATCGATAAAGTGATTCATTCGTTTTGAATTTGTATTGATTCGGCATACCCCAAATAATTTACGTTGAAGGAATAAAAATAATTAATAAAACCTTGGTAGTTATTTTTCTTTTTTTTAAACAAAAAAAATGAATAAATAAATAAATTTAAGTGTAGAAATATCCCATTTTTTTTAAACAGTGTTTGATGATTTAAATTTATTGTTTTTTTTATTGTAATTTTTTTTAAAAAATAGTAGATAGTTCTTCAAGTTTAATCGCAAATTTTCATTCTCGGCGACAAATTATTATCAAAACTTTATTTTCCCTATCACATTATATAAAAATTCACATTTATAATAATAATAAAACAGAAATATTTTTTCAAAAATTCATAAAGCTCACAACTTACTTTAAAATTGTTGTATGCAATATTTTACGTATGAGATTAAATATACAAAAATCAAAAAATGTAAATGAATTTACAGACTGAGAAATTTGTTTGTAAATAAAAACCAACTTCTATATTTAAAAAAGCCAATTGCTCTCTCATTTATCAATTTATTTCTTCTTTTATTTTATTTAAATCCCTCATTATTACTTAATGAATTAAATGTCATTTACATCTTTCTACTTATTTTAAAATAAACCATTTATTCGTCGTCGAATAAATGAAACTACCGGAGATCGATGTTCGAAGTCACGTGTGATCCGATGAACTTTGTTCATCGAGAATACTTCAAGCCAGGAACATTAATAGATAAATTGAAGGTTTATAATAATTGATTTCTTCAATCAAATGATAAACAAATAAATAAATTACATATATATTTTTATATTAAAATGTCTAAAAATAATAATTACACGATAAAATTCTAGATTTGACGCCAGATCAAGTCAATATGACTTGATTTGACATTTGCTCTCTATCGTTTGTACCCGAATTGTACAATCTGTAAGATGAATTTTGTTTTCGTTTGCGATAAAACCAAAATAAACCACCAATCAACGAAAGAACCGTTATGGATCCTATCGTTAAACCAAGTATTAATGCAATTGGAGTTTTACGCATCGTGTTTGTTGAAATATTATTAGGAATACCAAATCCAGTATGAGTGTTACTAGAAGGTGCTGTATCAGTAAATTCCAAATTTTCAGGGGTATATTGATCTATCCAAGTGAATGTTTTTGTATCTAATGGAATATGATTCAAAATTATTTATTTATAAATAATAGAATGATAATGATAAATGTCGATCGAAATAATAAACATATTTCTTTACCAAGTATATAGGTGTAATTATCTGCAAGAGCACGACCGTTTGTTAGGTATCCTAATAAATAAATGCAAAGAAATTAAATAATCACACAAATCGAAAATAATCTTGATTTTAATTGAATCACGAACCTGTTACGCCGAATGCAACCAACAAATTAGTTCCAACCATTGTAGCAGTATGAGAATATCTTGCTTGAGGTTTAATGCCCTTTGCTTCAATAACGGTCCAAGTGTATGGTAGTTTCGTAACATCCAAAATCGCGATATCATCATATATCGTATTATAATCTTGACTGACACCACCATGAATGATCAATCTACCGTCATGAGCTATAAATGAAAATATTCTTCAATTAAAATTGTTGATGTATATAATATTTTAAACGGTTTTGAACCATCAACTTACTTCCTACTGCAGCATGCTCTCTACGTGGTAATGGCATATTACCAATAGCAACCTTTCAAAACAAATTTTATTTTATTATTATTTTTTTTTTTTAAAAAAAAAATTCTCATAATTATGAAATACCTGATAATCCCATCTCGATTTCATCGTATCATAAACGTAAATTTGATTCATGTCTACCAATGTTTCATTCGTTATATTATTAGGATTATTGATAGCACCTCCAGTTAAATACATTTTTCCATCAGAAAAAATTGTTGCGGTATGTTGATACCTTCCTGATGGCGTATTTTGATCTAATTTTAAAACATTCCAAATGTTTTTCCTGGTATCCAAATTAATTAATTCTTGTAAGGTAAGTATTGCTGGTTCAGAAGGACTTAATACATTTGGTATGCCGCCAAAGAAATAATTCATGGAATCACTTAATCTTGTAACAACGGTGTGCTGCATTCGTTGCAACCCTAAACTTAGGTTGGCTTTAATCCATACAGGAGATGGATCCGAAGTATTATAATAATACAATGGATCAACATCACGGTCAAAATATATACCACCATACAACACTAAAAGCTCGTTTTGTGGTCCACCTATGCTAATTGTATGGTAAGCAACTCTAGGGCCTACATTATAAGTTGTCCATGAAGGGTTCGATACCGAAAAAGGTATCTTCATATCGAGAATGAGAAGTTCATTTGAATTATCTAATACATCCAAAGAACTACTCGATTCGCCTACCTTTCCACCAAAGACATATAATCTGTTATAAATTGAATTTAAGGCTTAATGCTTATGATTTAATCAAAAAAATATATATCCTTATTTAGTACCTACTTGTTATTTAAAAGTACTGTGCCATGTCCCGATCTGGGTATGATGGCATACACACTTTGTATTGAAACGAAAACTAACGACGCTGCAACCAAGGTAAGGGAATTGGAAAGTATTTTTCTAAACTGTTTTAGTGATACCATCACTTCGCCAATACGCTTATTGAAAACTTATTTTATTTAATGAAAGACAAAATTAAAAAAAATTAAGAAAAGAAAGTGAATAATCTTCGATTTCAATAACTTAGTAATTATTCTATTTAACTAAAAATGGTTACTCGGAATAATTATTAACCGAGTATCGTCTTAAACTAAGCTTTTTTTTTGGACAAGTTCAATTTTCTCACTAGAAAACTTGTACTTTGAATAAATGAACTGAAAGGATTCGCCCAATGATGTCTTTTTTTTAACCACTGACTAATATGAGCTTTTTATAAATGAAGATCGCTTGTGAATGTTTTATAATCCTGTCCAATAATTTTTGTTGGATCGTTTATCTTAACCATATTTGTTGATTTTCTCATGCCACCTCCCTAAAATATTTTTGGTCCTTATTGGGATAATATAAAATTAATAAATTCCTTGTTTAAACAATAATAAGTGAAGTATAGAAAACGTTATTACAAATTGAAATAAAACTTATATATTTTTAGTCACTGTGAGTAATAAAAGTAAATGATTGCCATGGTTAACCAAATAAATTAAAATAAGTAAATTAGATTCATGCACATCGTATTGTTTTTGAACTTTATTTCGTCAATTAAGAAAGATCTTCCGTTGTACTAACTTTTTTCTAATTATAGCACATTAAAATCTTAACCTACTTAGGAAATCTCATAGTTTCCAAAAATGTTTTTTTGAAACATGTTTGCATAATATTAAACCAATATTTATTTAAAACGCAGAGTTATATTGTATCGGACGAAGAACGTGCGTGTCAGATTATATTATGTAAACAACAACAATTAAACACCACATAATCATAAAACTTTGTAATTTATACGATTTAACTTCTTGAATTTGAATGGTTGATTTTTTTTTTATGTTTTAATTTGTATTTTTTTTACCAAGAATTTTGGTTAATATTGTTGGATTTTTATTTTATTTTGTATACTAACATAAAAGTTTACCCGGATATTAACCGAAGTCTACAAGAAAATTATGAAAATTCGTTTATAAGTTACACTCAACTGGGTATTAAAAATTTATTTCAGAAAGTTTAGTTTCAGTTGAAATAAATTTGGCCAGAATTATGATTTGATTTTTGTTAATTCTGGCCATTTTTAATTCCGGCCAGAATTAAGTATTAGCAGCCAAAATTTTCATGAGTCGCATCATTAATCCAAATATCAAATTCAAATATTAATATATATTATAGTAAATCAAAAACTAGTATTGTTTAGGGTGTGAAATCCAACATAAGCGTTGTTTGGCATTAGGGTTAATGAAGGAAGTTAGAGTTAAGTTTAGTTATTACTATATTAAGTATGGAAAGTCACATGACCCGAGTTTTTTGATGAGGAGGTCACATGTTATTACCTCAGATATATGACTAGAATGGAATCGATTCAACCAATACAATATTGAATTAATCAAATATCGAAATGGTGAAAAAAAGACATCAAAACATTCGTACGATGAATTGATCAAAAAAGAGCAAAAATATAAGCTTTCCTAACGAACCAACTCGAATTAAGAAAAAATAATTAGAATGAATTGTTTTGATAAAAATCGTTTTATCGCTGCGCACCAAAGCAAAAGATGAAACTAAAACAAAAAACATGTAACCGTTCTTTTTTTGTTTTGTAATTTTATATAATTTACTTACTTTTAATAAAGAATATGCGAAGCTACTGCACTTAAAATAGTTTGAGAAAGAGTGTGATAATAATACTTTAATTTATTAAAATATCACGAAAAGTTTATTTATATATAAAAAAAATTGAGATTGGAACCGTCTTCTAATTTATCACCTGGGTGTTCGCATCACTTTGTACTGTATATCGTGTATCCGGCGTTATTTCGGGTACGTTCTAGGATTAAATTAACCTGCACTGTTACATGTGATTGCTCTTCATCAAAAGAAATTTCTGGAGCTATCGAAGGAGCTTTATTACTAAAGATATCATCGAATGATGTGTGTCAAAGGGAAGGTTCATCATTCATTGTTGAAATTTAAATATTAGGAAAATAAAATAACAAAAATTTAGCGGAATTTTCGGTTGAATATTTTAAACATATCATATTAAAGAGAAAAAAATTGATATTTGCAAATCTGCCAATTATACCTACAACAATTTAATTATAATCATTTGTTTTCCAGAAATCTGTAATCAACCGGCCGAGTTTATTAACCCGAATCAAGAATCGGTTAATTTAATAGGTTATCAAATCTTTTTATGCGGTTGATCCGGTACAGCCGGTTTTCCTCCTCCATAATATTGCATTATTGCCTTACAGAAAAATAATGAAAATCTTATAAAAAATTACAACATTATGCAGGTCAATAGATTTTTAAGAACTATTGGTAATTTTTTTTTAAAAAAAAATAATAATCACGCGCGCGTTTAACGATTACTAGGAAAATCAAGTCAAGTTTTGAATAGTTTATTGCATTTTAAATGAATTACATAAATAATTAAAATAATCTAAAAATCCGAATTTAGTTATGAAATTTTAAATCTATTTTTCCAATAATTTCAATAATTTCAAATGTGAAAATGTAATAAATTATTTTGATGGTTGATAAAAAAAAAATCCCTGCATCATAAAACAAAATCAATTTAATTCTTCAAGGTTTCAGTTTGTTTTTTAATTAAGTTTTCAAAAATTAATATTTTTATTTTAGTAAAATTAGTAAAATTGCAAATTATAAATTATTGTTAATCTTTACAATCAATTAACGTTAATAAATCCATAATTCTCATAATTAATTAAAGTTTATAAAAAATTAATAAATTAAATAAAAAATAGTTGTTTCTCAAAATCAATTTAAGATTTGATATCAGGTTTATTGCTATCTTCGATTCTTTATATTTGGATTTTCTCAAAAAAATTAGATTTCGATTCAAATTTCATTACTAATTTTGATTCTCGAATTAAATTAAATATTATCCGGTTTCATTGTTTACTTCAATTCTCAAATTGAATATAAATAACAATGATTCCATGATCGATCGCTACCAGAGAAAGAGGTATATATTTTTCTCTTTCGGTTTTATTTTGTTCTTTTTTTCATCAATTTATTTTTTGTTTATTCTAATAATTGCGGGGTTGATGAGGTCATTGGTTTATAATAATTTCAAATTATAAAAATTCCTAATTATATATAACTTTATCATACCCTATTAAGGTATTAAAATTCAATTCATTCGATTCTTAAATCTAGCGATTTTGACCAACAAGTTGTCTAGTGGTTCCAGCCGTACAATAAAATAAGTTTCAATGTGGGGGCATTATTTTTAAAAAAATAAAATAAAGAAAATTTTATTTCTCGCATACCGAATTTTAAATTGTTTCTCCTTTTATTTGTCGACAGATTATATGCGGTGACATATATGATTTATTTGAGATTTCTCAATGTCATACGAACATATGTATCAAAGGCATATAAGATTTCTCACCTTATCAGAATCAAACTATAATTGTTAGAATGAAGCTTTTTTTTATTTACATAAATAAGCTTTTATCAACTCCTTATGGTTAACATACTTAGCCAATTTCAACAACATATTTCTTATAAAGTTATTATTACTGGAAGTTTATTTCTGGGACGGTTTATTAAAAATTTTCAATAATAATTAACCGCTTCGCGCACAAAATTATAACAAAATTATAGATTTTTTAAATTCAAAAAAAAAAGAACCGAAAAATTTAAAAAAATTATTTTATTCTCTAATTTGGAAGACTTCATAGTCTTCCATAGAAAAAGTTAATTCATCTTTCATTCCAAGATCGTACCAAAAACTGGTCCGAAGTGCTCGTGATAATTTAATGCACAATTTGCATTCTTAACGTTGCTTAATATCGCACTTTTGATAAAATTATCTTTAATTTTAAAAGTAAATATGAAACTATCTTTAGTTTTACCTCATTCATTAGTAGATTTCCATATAATATGATTGTATCCACCAATAATTTCTTCTGTTCCTTTTATTTTAATGAAGGTGACATTAATAGGCTTATTATCGCACAGGATGTGAAATATTTTAGGAGAAAATCCGTCTCGACTCCCTCTCAATAGTAATTTAAATCTGTATGGTAAATATAATTCTCTTAAATGAGAGAATTTAATATTAATGTTGTAGCCCAAACGTCACCTTGTCCCAAGTTAAACTTGGGATATCCAAAATCGGAATTCCTATTTCGGACTTCCCAAACTGGAATTTCGATTTTGGATGATCTTGTCCCAAATCTAACTTGGGA